AAAAAAATCAAGTGGCTCCTCTTTTGAGTTTATATAATGAGATGTCTCTTGTGTTTTAGGGTCACGTTGCCATACTATAACAGTGGAGTTCAAGTGGAAAATAATGCCGTCTACATCAAACTGCAGTCTCAAGTCGGCCTTGTGGTCATGTGGAATGGCGACGATGCAGTCATGGTGAAGATCAGATTTTTTTGCAGACTTTTCAATATTCGTGTTTTACGTTACAATACTTTTTTTTAATCTTTAAATTTTGTACAATTTAAAATGAACAGATTATTTTTAAAGCTGTATTTGGAACAAACATGATGTTTGCATCTGTGGAACAATTTAAATGCATACATTTGAGATTCTAAATGAAATACACAACTTAAAATCAGTCTTGTATCCGAATGAATGCTACCACCATTCCTTAGCTGAGACTGGTAAATAATTGTTACCTATAATTTCTTTCATCTTCCATGATGACTGTGAAGTTACCAACTTTATTTGACCCTATAAAAACCACCTTACACATAATTCATCTTATTCTTCTTCAATGATCTCTGTCATTGTAGGTTGAGGTGGATCGTGATTACGCGAATCGCACTTGTGGACTCTGTGGCGATTACAACGGCGTTCCGGTCTACAATGAGTTGATTTACAATGGTCAGTTTGCGAAATTGTTTTTTTTTTCTTCATTTACCCACCACCACCATTTGACAGTATAAATGAAATCCACTGCAGATCGAATAATCAGCCACATTGAATTTGGCAATAACCAGAAGGTTCATCACCCAAATGATGATTGTGAGGACCCCTTTGAGGAGTTTGGAGAACTTGAAGATGTTCCAGCTGTGGATTCATGCGAGGAGTTTGTGAGTTTCCTTTGCGTTGTGTTATCAAAAGTATCATACTATTCGACACATAAGTAACACTGGGCCGATTGCTTATCCGTTTCTCTTTTAGAAAACAACCTGCAACCAAATGTTGCATTCAGAGCCTTGGAGCCCCTGCGCGCAGCTAATTGACCCTGCGCCCTACGTGCAGGCTTGCGCGCAGGACATGTGCGGGTGCAGCAACCGCACCAATGACACCTGTGTCTGCAGCACCCTATCCGAGTTCTCTCGACAGTGTTCCCATGCTGGCGGAATGCCTCCCAACTGGAGGACACCAGAGTTCTGTGGTAAAGTTT